CTAAAATTGCGGCCTGGCTAGAAGCAACGCATCTGAATACATTGTACTAACCCTGAAAGCTTTGCATAAGCAGACTTCTGCCCTGTGGCAAGGTGGCATTCACATGTAGTTATAAAGCAGCCAGAAACATGACAGAAGATAACAAACAGCAATATTCAAATACCAGGTTTTACTGCTTCAAGACGAGAGACGAGGGCCTCTACGATGGTAAGCATCATGATGGTTGCTGCGGCATTGCTCATCCACATAGAGAGGAACCACGTGGGCAGCATGAGTCCCAGCATCAGCCTGTCGATCGGATAAATGAAACAAATAGAGTGGACGTGTTAGCAAGCAACCAAACTCGAGTTTATAAACAAACTTTGCTAGGAGGACAGGCACAACCCGCAAAAACGTAGTTTCGCACACTGAATTTCTGTGACAAATTTGAACGCCAAATATAGAGATCGTGAACTAGTTTTCTGAGATAGATGAACAAGAACACAACTCCAGAGGTAGGGATAAACCCTACTTGTCTCGACTTTTTCGCAAAAATAGCGACATTTGTACAAGGAGCGCTACGGCGAAATTCTTTCTCATTATTGCATCCCCTATTGTATAAGCTTGGGGAAAAAACATGTGACCGAAATGGTTTATCTTTCACTTAGGCGGTAAACACTCCGTTTTACGACCCCTAAAGAAAACCGCCAAATGGAATTTAGCACAGGCGGCACAGGCTTTGCTCGCCGTAAACTGGCGTCAGGCCAGCCTCTCCTGAACGGGCGAACATCTTGTCCAGAAAACTTAAAGCGATACAAAAAACTTACATTCGGGGGTCTCCTCCCATAATTTGCATAACGGCCACGCCGATTCGGCGGTGGAGATTTCGATGTTCCGTAGCGACAGCCAAGAAGGCCCCACCAATGAACAGCATGTTTGAGTCCTAAGGGGATCGTTTAAAGGCAAGCAACAACCAAATTCAGCCTTTTGAAAATAATGTGAAATGAACAGACGTGATTCGAACGGACTGGCGTTTACATGAGAATAGTAGTGTCTTGTAAAAAACCAAAAATTGGAGACAGCATAGGAAAAAATGGGCAGGACGAGATTTCAAGCCTCTAATAAAATAAATTCATCCAGAGGATAGGTTGGAGGGAATACGTACGTCTTTAATAAATTATCACCAGGAATAAAGGGTTTCCCTATCAGCCTAGTTGCTAGCTCCCAGAAGGTCCAGGGATGATGGACATCCGACGAACGGTAGTTGCGAAATAGACAGGCTGTCGGCGGCCCACCAACGGTAGTCAGTAGGATGCAGTCTGGTAACTGACTTTCCAACGAAACATCAGAGCCCGAATACGGGCATGAACAGCCAGTAAATATGTTCCTATGGTCTTTGCCCTCTTACAGATCCAATGTCCATTCAAAGGATGCTGAGGACTAGGGGGACCGACTCGCAGTAAACCCATGAAACTCCATCTTATACACCGTTCCTTAATCGTGAACCTTGATTTTTGCTAAAGAACTCCGAAGACGAACCCGATGGTAAATAGGAAGGTTAGTGTTTTCGAGAGGAAGATAAAACTGTCCGCAGCATGCTGGTATGTGAGATTCCACTTTGCATCCGCAGTGCAAAGCCTAACCATAGGAGCGTTGATGCAATACAAAGCTCCGTAGTCCCTCTCCCATTTAACTGAAGTGCCAGAGGCTGGGAAATGCGCCTACATCCCGCACGGCGGCCAACGATAGTTCTGATCTAGGTGGCATTGTGACTGCACTGAGTAATCCGGCCAGCACCTTACTTAAACGCTGGGACTGCACTTCTACGTCTTCATACTGCCTCCGTCAACATCACAATCATCACGGTGAACGTCCCAACGCTGGGTAATGACGGCACGCAGAGACCTTCTATGGCAAAGTTAAAGCAATAGGTGAGCGTGTTTAAATAAGTGACCCCGCGGTCGCAGATTTTTATTCCAAACGGGTGGTGTAATGCGTCTACGTGGCGATTCTTGGGTCGCTACGCAGCGAAAACCGTCGCGTGCATGGTAAAATGCCTGTCAATTTTGCTGAGCTTAAATGTTTTTGCGTTGTAAGCACCTGTTGCAAAGAACTGTGGAGACATCTAGCCCCCTGGTACTCCATTAGTGGCCGCTTTCAGGAATAAATCAACTCCATACCTGTCCGAACATGCTAGACACCAGGCCCATGTGTGATACCCGACACCAACAGCCCGGACTGTGTGCTGTCAAACAGGCACATCTACAGGACGTTGCCAATGCTACAGGTTCCCTTATGGCGGTTTCAGTTCACTGTGGCAGATAAGAGTCGCCTAAGGGGCGTCCTCATTTGAAACCGACTGTCTTGAAACAAGGCACTCTCTCAAGTACTTCACAGGAGGGTGGATGCCATAATAGGCGTTGCCTGCAGGGTTGGGTTTCTGATGCACGATAGTGCAAGTGCTGTTCGACACAGGTCGATTCGAGCTTAAGGGACTTGCGTCGTCAGACCACGGGTTCTACTCCGTACGACGACAATGAACTCTGGAGTAACACCGCCCGAGACCTGAAAAGCCAGCTCCTTAATCCATCTGCCTTAACGACTAAAGACAACCTTGGTACGGTAGTGGCCCAATGGACAGACCCAATCCTCCACTGGAGTGACCATTTTGTCCAGCTCTTGGACCCCTGATGGCTGGACCTCCTCGGTCGCAACTGAATTTGAAGATTCCCCGGTGCCTGAACATGACTGCAATTTCATTCCACCTCGGATGGATAATGGAATAAGAGAAAAACCTGTCCTCTGGTGTTCGAAAATGACGACTGAGAGGTTATACAGTCTTGCCGAAATTGGAGGAACAATGTCCGTACCAGCAGAGTGGAGTAATAAGGTTATCAGAGTAATCTTCGAGTAGGGTGACAAATTGCTGCGGAAACATCAACTAGTGTCAGCGCGGCCAGTCTCGCTAATGGCTTCCACCTGAACCTCAACAGGCAAACAAGAAGCTTCGTGGCATGCGGCTGGGGCAGAGATGTGTTGTTCAGTGCTCCCCGAGCATTATGTTAATCGAGCAAGCAAAGCCGTTGGATAGCGAATAGAGCGTTTCCTGCTCATTATATTGCCCGAGTCCTAGCTTCAACCCTGCCGATATTGCTGTATCAGCCCTGCGGTCCTCAATTTTCGAAACCAGCGTGCCAACCGGTCGCACTTTGATCGGAAGTCTGCCGTCAACCGAATGCAATGGAAAGCAATCATACGAGCCGCAGCATACCTGCAGAACGGAGCCGATTGAACGTGTCATAATGAATATAGTCACAAGTACAAATAAGTGGTAAATGGAACTAACACGAAACTACGGAAATGAGATATGACTCGACAGCGCAAAAATGCAGTCGACTGTATACGACGCAAGGAATAATTCCATAAGAATATTCGTTAGTAGACATCTTACCCGCATGTACTCGATGCAGGTGTTGTTTGAAGAGAGTAGACCCATCAGGGGTGCCATAACGATGGGAAGAAGAGCTGTGACGTATATTGGTATGCATTCGGTTATCCAGTAGCCCGCCATCAGCAACAAGGCATAGGCACCTTTGGCTTCCTAGACGAAATTCAAAATCACAGCCTATGGTAAGCAATGCCTTACAAGGAGAGCTTTGGCTCATTCGACTCTCTAGCAACCTGCACGAAATAGGCTGCTTTTTTCAATAAGCGATTAAAAATGGAAACAAGCACTTTCAAGCTAAGTACGCATCCATTAGACGTAAAGCGCGACCAAAAAATATCTTGTTCTGCAGACAGTAGCCAGTCAATTACTGTAAAGAGGATTGGAAATGAGGCACACAAACACAGGTGTATTAGGAACAAAAGCATCTACATAGACTCGATGATTGTCCTCACTCAGGAATAAAATCTCGGCGCGCCCTCCGGATGCATTAAATCATAACTTTTTCAGGACTTCCTGACTAAGATCCTGGGGGGCCGATCACTTTGGTGCAAATTATTGCAAGCCCGAAATGAGTTTAGTAGATGGCAGGCAAGTGGACGGGATTTCGTGCTGTGTGGAGGTGGCGCGCAATCTTGACAAAATAGCTAAATTTTGTCGAATCGGTCCTGAGGTTTTTTGTTTGTGACGTTGACGCCGCAGTTCTGTACGCGAGTTTTATGCCCCTGACAGAACAAACGGCACTTCCCTTACGTCTGAACAAAAGCAATTTTCATTTTCAGTGTTCAGTGAGTTGGCTGGGAGGCCGTTTAACAAGTTATCCCCCATCCCCGTGCTTCAAGGCACGGCGAATGTCCAATGGTTTTGTCGCCCGAAAACTCGTGTCCATCCTACACCGCGGGATTTTGTTGAGTTCCCGAACAGGAAAGAAGTATTAATTTACTGTCACGCTGCGGTAGCTTTTAACAGCCTGTCTGTTGTCTTTAAAATCTCAGCAGGCAAGAAAGGATGCATTAAGTATAGGAAGACTACCGAAGAATTCGTTTGGGTATGCCGTCTCGAAGATAAATGTCTAATCTTTTTGAATAAACAGTGGTAGAGGCTATTTTGATGCGTTCTGAAAATGTGTCAGTCCCAATCTTAAACAGCAGCTAAATTCAATAAAATTTTTGTTAAAACAAACCCCGAAAAGGCTGGCTAAACAGCATAGTTTTAAAGCTGTAGCCCTACGGACTTCTACGACTAGTTGCTGTCATCATGAAATCAAAAACCCAGGTGTGCGTACATTAAACAGACCTGGCGCTCAGAAAGGGCAATCAGTCTGCAATTTCAAGATTTAGTAGGCACGGAGTGAGTTTAACTCTAAATTGATAGACAGTGGAGCGCACATTATTACTCCAGCATATCTAAGAGTAGTTGCAAGCTTTTGATAAAAAGTCATGAATGCCGATAAACTTACATTGCTGGTGTATACGATTACGAGCGGACTGAGAAGGATGGGATAAACGACGAGAAAGATGAGGCCTTTATACTTCAAGAGCCACTTCACCCAACCCGGCAAAGCCATCGTCACTCGTTAGTCGAAGGATCGAGCGTCTACAAAAAAGTGGCATGCTTGGGTAAGGACACTTCTCGGGGAAAATAAAGAACTGCTCCTAGTAACGTCAGCGATGAACGTTACAGGCGGAGTCAAACCTATACACTACCCCTAACACATTATATTGTCGCCGTGACAATAATGGTTTTAAAGCCATGAAAAGATACTGCCGTGATTCAGCAACACAAGAGAGCACTAGGTGCGATCACTGCAAAATAGAGCGCGTCGTCCAGAAAGACGAGTAAAACGTTTAGCGATTAGAAAAGAACGTACACATGTCGTACATGTCGTACACTTGGACGAGTGGAACTTACTAAATGAGAGACCTCGGCGAGCGAGGACGGGAACGAGGCCAGAAAGCAAAGGGTACAGGGAGGCCAGTGCTGTCCGAGGACCCGCGGTGCTGAGAACTGGAAAGCGCACGTCCAGTTCTAGTCTGCGCGTCGAAATTAAAACTGACCAATAAGCGCTGGGTAGTACGCGATCGCTATAGGCCAATCGCGAGTCAGCTTGCCTTTAAGCTCTCAGCTCCGAAATCAAAACACTCACTAAAGTAGCATATGTTGTTTTTATATTATTTGCCTCTGGGCCCTAATTTCATCGGCACAGACCAAACTATCCTGCCAACTCATGCCTCCCTAAAATTCGTCAGAAAAAGCGACCCCATCCGCGCGAAGGCGCCGTTACCGTGGTTGTCTCGAGCCGTCGACAAGCCACCCGTGCCGTTGAGGGAAGCCAATCACGACCATGCACACGTGCCCTTGCCACAGGAATCCTTCCTTTCGGTAACCGCATTGGGTGAACAGAGATTCACCAATCAGTGCCCTGGATGATCAGCCCTTCGCGAGGGTGTGGCTGAGATTGCACGTTGGTCGAAGGTCGCGCGCGCACGCTCCTCGCGGGGGGTGGTTACACGTCGGGTGTGGCCACGCGAGTTACGGGAGTGCTCATCGTACTTTCTCAGTCCTTCCACCTAGTATTTCCCGTCGAGGCTGATTTGTGCGCATTACGAGACTCATCAGAAAGTTCTGTTTTTAAAACTCGTAGTAGTAAAGTGGTTAACATGTTGTCTGCTAGGCATCTTGGTCGTATGACTTTCGTCGAGTGCACTTGCAAGTTAGAACAGTAAAAATGTGTGACGAGGTGGAAATAAATCGGCATACTGAAATAGAGAGCCATCGTGCGTGTTTTGTTCACCGGACCTGTCGAAACAAATAGGCGAAGCAAAAGAAAATAACTGTTCATCGTCAGAAGTAGAACTACGACAATCAGGCTAAACGACAACTCCATCTAAAAAGTGCCCTAATTCACGTCAACAAGCCTGGTGAGCCGTCATGCTTATTAACCAGCGACTGGAAGTTGACTATATGTAACGTAAAAATAGGGTGATCGTCAGCAGGTGGAAATTGACAAATGGATGAGAAGAGCCGCGGGTACCATTTGCCTCGTTTTCCTCATCCGTGAGCGTCAGAAGTGCAGTTACGAGACGATGGAACCAGCAGGGAGGGTGATGACACCATTCTACCCACGACCTCCAAAAGAGGCATCATACAGTAACGCTCCCAACCGGGTTTGCGGCAGCGTTACTTTGGTAAGGACTCGTTTTCTTAGCAGTCAAGACCTGTTCCCAGCCCCACATGGGAGAAGAGTTAACAGATTAGTCTTGATTACGGGAGGGAGCTGAGCATTGCATTTAGGAACCACGGGTCTAGAGTCCTTGAGGACGGCCACATGGCAATGGATAATGCCTTGCGAAAAAATCAGTGTCGACGAAGGCAAGGAAGGCTGGAACGGTCATTTCCGCTTTATCTAAAACCAGCAGCTAGTCATATCTCGAACACTGGCCAGGATGACATGGAACCGTGGTGACGGCAAACACGCCGGGAACGGCGACTCCAGTCTCCCTTATATTTGTCTGTGACTCGGATATATACGTTCTATGATGTGTACACGTCCTTCAGTGACGAGGAGAGCTTTTCTATACTCGAGCCCAACGGTGTAAAATGAGTTGACCTACAAAAGGCAGGGCTCTGCCTTTAAGTTGTGCGAAACTAATATAGCAGGAACTGAGCCCACTATCTCATAAAAACCTTGCATTTCTTGGAAAATCTAACCTAACCCACATACATGAACATGCGGAACGCGCCAAGACTCATGAGCCGTCTTCCTACACTTTTGGGCATATCTTCAACTAGAAAAGTCTAAGTAAACGTAACTACAAATAATAATGGGCAAATTTAACTGGGTCTGGCGTTCAGTAACCTCATCGGACTGCAGGGCGGGAAGTGAGTGTATTACGCTAAGCGTTCGGATAGTGTTCACCTATCGTCGATGGACAAATGATAAACGGGGTGCCCCCCTTCCCCGATGCAAATAAAAGAGACTGAAATGACTATTTCTGGTTTATCTGCAGCCATCTGTCAGTGATTCCAATGTTTAGGTCCAAAAGAAATAAGGGCTGAATTTCGATCAAGGTATTCCTGGATCTTAACATTCTACCAGTCGAGTCTCGGGTTCAAGCGCTGCCCTATTCGATCAGACATATGACAGAAACTTCCGTTTTACCCAGAGCTGAGGTTGACTACTCTGACAGACAAGACACCAGGGGTTTGGCTTAATCCCGAAAAGACGCAGTCCTTGGTCAGAAATATATGCCGGTCTTTTTTGTATGCATTGGCGTACTGCAGTTACTCCTCAAGAACAATGAGCCGCTTGCCGTAGGCGACTTTTGTGTTGCTGTATCCTCGTTTAGTCAATTTTTTTTCACATTTTGTGGGCAGTGGCCTACCGCTGGATCCGACAGATTCGCCTCGCTCCGCTTGTACCTACTTTAGTCCGTCTTCTTAATTCCTACCTCGCGGACCTAGAGCACCTAGCCTAATAGTATGATTGCCAAAAACAAATAATTTTGGAGAAAAATTACTTCGTCTTAAACTCACCTGTATGATATCGGAGGGGCTGTCCTTGGACAACCGTTGTCATTTTATTCTTTTGATTGTAATCTAAGGGTATGGTCCTCTGCTCTTCGAACTGACGACAAAAGTTCGACCGTCGTTACTGGTGATGCCCACCGTATGCCCCACACCAAGGCGCGCGCAGGACGGTGACTTCCGAATGCCTTAGTTTATAGTGATATTATAAATGCGCCGTATCTACCGCACTCTCTCCCGCTTCACCCACCTTGGGTCCGGTGTCAAGAGAGAGGCAAAAGACCGAAGGCGGAATCGCGCGCGACGTGAGCATGCGCCCGGGAGCGTCACCACAGTCCTAATGTATTTTATAGGTGCGCAGACCACTAAAGCGTGCCGTGCCCTGGAGACGAAGTGACCATGCGGACACCATCCAAGAAATGTTTCTAGGCATGAGTAATGGTCAGAAATGGTCATTCCAGTCTCCCTTGTCTTTGTCGGTAATACAATTCTGCCTATATCATGAGCGCTGTGCGGCTGTTGGTTGGGCTCGAGAGAGATCCCGTAAGATACAACGGAATGAGTGAGTTCCGTAAGAACGATCAGTGAGCGCCACCCTCTATCATTCAACTTGGTCAGTGTGAATGTGCCATTCATCCCCAAAACGATGGTGTACTTAAGGGCACCGCCATAACGATTCAGTTATTTTGCTCTTTACACTAACGATATCAGGTGTCTCAGAAATTGTTCAGTAAATAAGTGGGCTGCTGAAATTGGTGCAGGCCTTCCGACCAAAAACGATCTTGATTTCAAAATTCACAAGAACGCGTAAACCATTCGAGCACGGTCCCTGGAAATTGGAAACTGCTAAATTACAAAATGCCCGACATCGGACAACGCACGCATAAAACAGCACTCATTTTATGCAATGGAACCTGGTAGCAAGTCGGCGTCTTTCGCAGTCCGTGCTTCTAAAACAAACGGCATTTCCGCGATCCGACCATCTCTTGACTGTAGTACTTCAGGGGAGTCAACCTCAGCTGAATACTGAGTTGAAGTTTTTGTCCTGCTGACTTTTTGACGGCTTTGCAGTTAGGTTCGAGACTATGGTCTACTAACATTCATGCTTTATTTCGATAGTATCCTGACGCTAACCTTCCCCACCTTGACAGTATAACAGCATTAGGCAACTGAACTCACATTTGGAACTAGGCAAAAGGCGTTGTTGCTGTGTTTCCGATAAAAAGGAAGCTTTTCGCCCTTCTAAATGCATTACTCGTTTTGTATAACCTTATTTTGAATGTGCTAGTATCGCATATCAAGGCAATAAACGCCGCTTCGAAAACATGACATGGAATCTGTCGATCCTGATGGGTGGTCTCCAAATCCCCACCCTCCCCTTATTGCTGACCCCAACTCCAATGCCGACAATGACCAGCCAAGTCCCCTCTCGAGAGTCAGCTTATAAAAGCGTGGAAATTACTAGGGTCGTAGTCAAATACCAGAAGGGGAAGAGGAAAAAGGGCCGAAAAGTGGGAAAGGGGGAGTTGAAGAAGGCAAAAGCGGGAAAGAGATCATAATGCACTAGAAGAAGAGGAAGAAGAAGGAGAAGAGAGGGAGTGTGATGAAATGAGGAACAGTCTAAAGCGTAGCATGAGAGAAAGTACGCAGAGTGAGAGAAGAGCATGCTTTAACATGAAGTTTTCAGTGACTAACCAAGCCTAAAAAGGTGAATTACTTATAAGAACAGTCAACTATGAAGTGTACTTCGGAGCCCTATTATAGTAGGTGCCACCGTAATCGAGGCGTTTCAAGGGAAAATCAGGAAAAATTGAGAATAGTGATTAAACAGGAAGTGGAAGAACGCAAGACGCTGACCAACTGAAAAGTGCACCAAGCGATAATACCCGCAGTTGGAAGCCGTGTTCGAGAGAATTTCAAGCCGTTGTGTCGAAGTGCACCTTCATCCCCAGACGGTAAGGGGCAAATGCGCAATTCTGATGATGAATAATAGTCCCTTATATGAAGGAAAGCTGTTATCCTGGTTAGTATCCAGCGTAGCTAAACACATTCCATCGCTCTGTGGAGGGGCTCCTACGTCAAATTCTTCGAAGGTGTGCCAATAACCTTGGCCTGCCAACTCAGCATTCCGGACAGAGAAAAGACATAGGCAGTAGCGTTTATGGTCCGCGTATTACGCCGGCGGCAGCATGCAGTTTGATGCGCTTCTTGCTTGTGCGGTGCGAAAACTACTCTTGTAATGACCAGGACTTATTCTCTTGGCCCTGCAGTCTGTGTAAGGTCACATACCCCCAATGATGACTTTATTACTTACTTCTAACACTTCTGTGCAATTACACATAATTCTCATGGCGTCCTACTACCGACGCAGGTAACGCACTTTATCGCCTGGGTTTTCACAAAGAGAGAGCATTTTTAGAGAGCGAATTCCCAATTTATTAATAGCAGCGGTCTCTGCCGTCCAGACTACCAAGACACTTTACTATTCAAACAAAATTGCCTTCCTTTGCACAGTCTTGAGGGGGTATTCCTTGTAATCGCTCCAAACCAATTCACAGTGAACTACCAGAGCATTTTTTAATCGCTTAACATCGGTCAACGGTATTGGCAGCGGCAGGAATGATGGTGGTGTTGAGGTAGCAGCTGAAGCAGTCGGAAAAGAATGAAAAAGAAGAAGAAGAAGAAGAAGAAGAAGAAGAAGAAGAAGAAGAAGAAGAAGAAGAAGAAGAAGAAGAAGAAGAAGAAGGAGAAGAAGAAGAAGAAGAAGAAGAAGAAGAAGAAGAAGAAGAAGAAGAAGAAGAAGAAGAAGAAGAAGAAGAAGAAGAAGGTGACGACGACGACGACGACGACAACGATAAGGGCGCGATTGAATACATAACCTTCTTCAGGGAGGGAACGAGCCAGGCATACTTTCCGGACCAAAATGATAATACCAGCAGGTAGAGAATAATCCGCATGCAGTTGTACTTTATTTTCTTAAAAATGCCTGCAGAAATCTTAAATAACTCAGCAGAGACGAGACGAGTGATGGGTCCCACTGGTGAGAGAAACCGTTGAAAGTCACGATAATTTATACCCCTGATGAAAGAGCTGACTAGCTAGGTGAACATAAATTTACTGTTGTATATGGCACTTGATGACAGTACACACAGTATCACGTTGTTTTGAACGGGGACAGTCTTCTGGCCCTGTTTGGTTTAGACGTTGATTTTTTGAAGGTAGCAGTATAATCATAAAAAAGCCCGAACGACTAAATCTGGTCCCCACGCTACATCCCGCTGGCTAAAATCAGGTCAAGATTAAGTTGACCTGAACTATAAACCGTTACCAAAGGCAGATTTCCATGATTACTTATATTTGTCACCTTCTATTTGCCTTTCAGAGTGTGAAGTTATAAAATCAGGACTGCAGTGCAGTAGGACAGATATGAGCTTTGTCAGAAACAGTAACTTTCACCGGCCCAAGTGAGGTGACCATACGCTTCAGCAGTCATTAGAAGTCCGCTAGAAAAACTCTTTCTTTAGATCTTAGTCACCTTTAGTATTCTCGCTACCGAGACCCCGTAAGAATGGGCTCAGTGGAGCTGGTTTCGATGGAATTCGGGATTCCGCGAAATTCGGTACTCAAAATAGTTGTACCAGCTGTATGGCCCAGATGTTTAAAGTTAAAACCGCCACTCCGAGATAAGTGGACCAGCATTAATAGTCACCGACAAAATCACGGGATGTTACGTCCTTTGCGCATATGTAGACGACTTACGAATGGGCAAATGTTTCCCACCGTCGAGCAGATTGGAGCCCATCGCGCCCAAAGAGATCGCCGATAGAAGCGAACTGGCGAGTTCCTTTGTCGAGAAATGCGTTTGTATTAACTGAGGTGGCTGACTAGTTGCAGGCGCGTAGTTATATTTCACTTTGGGATCTCTAAATTAGCTGCTGGAGATAATTGTCTTTTATGGTATCGGGATTCACACGCTAAGCCACCTGACACATTACAGAGCGGTCGCGCCAGTATGTAGAGTCAGGGCAGAGATGTGCAAAAAATATAATGGTGCATTTGTTATCAGCAAAGAGACAGTCACTGCGATTTGTGCAAATGCAGCCCTCAGTTCCAGACGCATGATATCGATTCCGCTCAATAAGTCGTTGGACATTTTGGCCATGGTTATCGTAAAATAAATTGGGGGAGGGGGGATTCTAGTGAGTCACAGGTTTCAAAAGAAAGAAGATGATCACACGGTCTGGCTGGGGGAGAAGCCAAAACGTGTGTCCTATTGCATTAATACCAAAAGTGGCCAAATAGCTCTCTTTTTCATCAGATTTCGATAAAACAACGGACCTCTGGCTCAACATTAAGACGCAGGACTTGAAGACAGCCAATGACCGCATGCTATTAGTCTGTCCCGCGTATATGT